TTGCGGCGAGTAAAATTTACTCGGAGAGTCTCGCCATAAAATAAAAATATAAGAAAGTGAGAAAAAAAAAAGAAAGAAACGAAAAGTGGGGCCAAGGTTGACGACCAAGGTTTCCGTCGAGTTCCCTTAGGGGCTGGGAGTTGTCTTCTTTCTACGTGAGCTTGCAGGCTGTGCTGTGGATATTCCCCGAAGAACTTCTTTCTAGTCTGTACGCCTGGCGATCGAATAAATTAAGACGAAGAGTTCATTGCTCGAGACGAGACTGCTCTTGATACGACGCGGAATATATTACTTCTAGTCTTTCACCGGTATCACAGTTTTTCTTATTATTTTCTTTTTTTAATGTTGAAGCCAAGATTTTATTCTTATCATCAGCATGTTAACTTTTTTGTTATACATATATATATATATATCGTATGCGCTGTCCACGAAGTAGTCAAAAGATTGACAAGCGCAGAAATAGTACTTTGGTGCCATGAGTCTATGCGTTATTTAGAGTAAAATTTAAGCTATTTGTGAAACTGTGAGTTGTTGCCGCGCGCGGGGCCGAACTTCTCAGAAAGTTACCGTATATTCTTACTCGGGACGTAACTTTTATCATTTCGTCCAGGTTTCTTGTTCTGGAAAGTGCCTGTTCATTCTCACCCCGAACGCTCGACGCTCGAACCTTCTGGGCCGAAGTTTCGAGATGCATACTCACAGTAGGGCTGTGTTCCAAATCTTACCCAAATGAATCCGAGTTACTCCGGCTGGTTGTGTCACGTGACAACACAGATTGAAAAGCGCTGGATGCGGGTAGGTTTTGGAACGCCAAGGTACAAAACCCTTACACTGGAAGTAAGATCGAGTAAATTTTGGAACAAGGCCTAGATAAGGAGCTGCGCGTGACCTTGTCGAGTCAGTCTCGCCTTCGCTTGCTGTTACACCGCACCTCCACCAGAAATGTCACGAATGAGAGGAGCAGAAGCGGCGAACATACAGTTTCAAACTGAATGTTTAATGGTTATACTTGCGCCAAACTAAATGAAGAACGAGAGTCGAGGGAGCAGAAAAGCGGGCGGCGATTCGGCGGTGTAACAGCAAGCGAGAAGAAGACTGACTCGACAAGTGTGAATCGGCATCTCGAAAATACGGCCTAGAAGGTTCGAGAGTCGAGGGTTCGGGGTGAGAATGAAGAGGCACTTTCGAGAACAAGAAAGTAGGACGAAATGAAAAAAGTTCGCCGAGAGTAAGAATAAACACGACTCTTCTACAAGTCCGTGACAGAGCGTTGCTTGCTCGGCCCCGCGCGCGGCAATATCGAGGATAGTATATATTAAAAAGAGTTTCTTAAGTTAAATATCTAGCGTAATCGTTATCTCAGTAGCTCAGAGCTGTCCAGTACAGTAAAAATAATGTGAACCAGACTCGTTGGAACGGCACTAATTCGACGATTTCCTACAATAGAAAAGCCGGGAACAAAAATACATTTTTTCATAATTCAGGCCTCACGTATTGCCTTAAAATGTAGACCAGAATAAAGCATCTGGGTTCACCGCCACTGCCAGCTATCTTGTTTGAAATGAAAGCTCCGACCCGGCAGCCAAAAAAACAATCACTCGGCGTCAAAGTACGAACTCACGACTCTGAGACCATCCCTCTACCGAATAAACCCCAACGACCCACATGCACCAATTCGTAGGGTGTGTGACGTCACTCAAAGACGGCGGCACAGGCCGTGACGTCAGAAACGCCCGCGCGTACGAATAGTGCCCTCACAGCTCGCGCGGGCAATCGCGCTCCTTGCCACACCGTGAAGTTGGTCTGTATTCGCAACTCCAACGGCGTGAGTTGAATCCCCCGTCCTCCGTTTCAGACTTCGGCCGCCACGTTGCTTTGGTTTCCGCTGCACACTGGGACAGGCACAATAGCTCCCCGCTTCTCTCCTTCACGTCTTTTCCGCCAGGTGGCGTCGACTCCTCTGGAGTTGTGAATTCACCCCCAAGCTTGGGCACGATTAATCGAGCCCGCCCATTATAAAGGGAGCAGCCGCAGTATCATCATCACCATCATCATCATTGCCTATAAAGAACCCAGATGTAAGAGAGTTTAGCACCCTTTGCAAATTGGTTTCTCCTGCGCATGCGGGGCGGGGAGGAAGATAGCGTGAGAAGAGGCTGAGCAAAGCTTTGGTACGCTTGCAGACGATCGACGTTTTTGCCTAAGCCACGTGACCCCGAACGAAAATTTGAAAAGAACTTCCAAATCTAGGCACGCTATGAAGTTGCGAACAGAGAGACGACGCATTTTAAGACGCGGTCGGTCACACATGCATCACACAAAGGAGTGTCTGCAAACATGAGTCACTACAATATCCGTGGTTCGAATGCCCCGCGCCCAAGTGTCTCCTTTGAACTCACTGCCACGCGGCACTCGAAGCACAGATCTCGCCATGACTCGCGTTCGAATCTCCATGCATGCAGACTGTCTTTTGTATATGCTGCATAAGCAGTGCGATCCCGGCTTTAAAGAACGCTGTGTACACCGCGTGCCAAGAAGAGCACACTGACAAAGATGTTTTCATCGAAACAATCGCACGCTTCCGCAGGACACGACTAGAGGACGGGTGTACTGACTCCTCGCTATACGTATACATATAGTATACACCCCTCACTTATCGGCATCCACACAGCCGTTCCTCGGAGCATCGCTCGAGCTGCCGAACGACTATCTCTGCTCCCGCAGATGCCCGAACATCCTCTCGAGCTTCTGCAGCTACACTATCTCCGTTGTTTACCGCGTCGTCGACGCTGCTTCACAGCCGAGTACAGTATATCCCGACACTGCCTAAAATAATCAAAGCCGGATACGCAACTTCGTCGCAGTGAGATCGATCAAAGCCTGTACAAGACGTTTGACGTCACCACAGCGAGATCGAGCGAAGACACAGATTGGACACGAGTGCTTACGTCATCGTTCGGCATGGGCCTCGTGTCCAATGAACGCGTCGAAGGTCGCTCGGCATCCGGCTCGGGTCGGATTGCCGAACTGGCGCCGTTCGACGCTGATGGCGTTGCATAGAAAAAGACGGGATGTTCGCAATCATTAAATATATCTTATGAAAAAAAAAAAAAAAAAAAAAGAGAGAGAAAAGAAAGATGGTGTTGGCAGTACCAAACACACCGAGGGGCTTTAGGCAGTAAAGGCGTCACGTGACCACTCCCGAAGATCACGTGACACTCGCGTGGCATCGGATTGGCTACCGATGGCTCCCATAGCGTCCGACGCGGTCCGTCGCGAGTCGGAACGGGGTGTGTATAGATACATGTCACGGATCCCTCTGACAGGCGTCCCTCTTCGATGCGTTCAACGTTGGAAGCCGTCCAAGTGACACGTGACGGCGAGCGCTCAGCGAGAGCAGCCACGTACGGTACCGCGCACCCGCCGTTAGGTGTGGCTGCGGTGATAATTATAATATTTTTCTCGTTCGGCTCGTCATTTGAGTCGGATAACCGCGAAATCGTATACATGTTGTACGAACATGGTGCATAATCGTAGTTTTCTTTTGTGTGTGTGTGTATTTGTTTTGTCTTGTTTTTAATGCGTATATATATACGACGATCGAATTGAACGCGTACACTTGGCATATTCTGACTCCCCGATTATGTCTTACTCGATTTTCGTTTTGTCGTTGTTGTTCTCGCTCTTGTCCTCAAAGGGGAAGCCACGACGTTTAAAGCACGCCGGCCATGAGTAAGTTGGAGCGCTGCACTTGAGACGGCTTCTAGGTGTGAAGCGTTACGGTCGATCTCGATAATAATGACGCCGATGCAAAAACCGAGACTCCGCAAAAATGCAAAAGAGAAGACAATAACAAAATGGAGTGGAACTATTTTTTTTTATGCGTTAAGATTTTAGAGCATTTTTTTTTTGTTCCTTTTTTCACATGTGGTAAGCAACGTACCACAAGTACAAAACAAAACCCTTTAAGAATGAAATTTAAAAACAAAATTGACGTTAAAGTTCTGTATTTAGCCCCCCCCCCCCCCCCCCTCCCCAAAGGAAAAAAGAAAGTTGATGACGCCTTCAAACAAATTAATATAATGCTCTCCCAATATAAAAGCGCACGGTGAAAAGAAAGCTAACTGGTGCTCCGGTTTTGTTTGGGATTCAAGCAGAATCAGACCACACAGAATGTGCAAACCAGCCAACAATTACTTCGGCGCTCGTCAGTGATGACGTCGAATGTGTTTGGACCCTCAAGATCTCAATAACATCGTCATAAGAATGGTAAGAGAGTATGCCAAATGAGGTGTCCAAGTGATAAGCATAAGGAAAAGCGCAACGAGAGAAACAAAAAATAAAAATAAACGCCAGCTCCATAATCTTTTTTTTTAATTATTATTACCTATTTCCTCCGCTAAATGTTGATGTGGCAACGAGACAGATCACGTTCTGCAGCGCAACTTTTGTACTTTTCTTCCTCTTATCTCGAAGTATTTTAATATGCAAAGCCAAAAAAAAGGAAGGATATAATAATAATATTAATAGTAATAATCATGAAACAATCAGTCAATCAGTGTTTATTTTAGTGTCCAGGAACAGCCTCACGGCCTCCATTCGGGCAAACTTGAATAAAATTAAAAAGAAATACGCAACTCCTGAAGAGGAACAGAGTCCACCATTCTAGGACTGAAATAAAGAGAAAAATATAATAACCCTAATAATAATAACGATAATCATAACGGACCAAGCGCGGAGGCACCCGCCGCTCCGTTCCGCGCCGCTATATTTAAAAAAAGCAGAAGCCCAAACTCCCGAAGGCCGCGCCGCGAAACACGAGGAGAGATCCAGGCGGCGCTTTTCTTTCTGTTTTCCCTCCTCTCTCAAGCGTCCGGGTCACGTGACAATCCCCTCGTCCCGCTCCCCCTCCCCTGACGTCAGTTTCGTGCCGGAGCCAATGGGCGACGCGAGCGCAAATGACGCAAGGCGCGCAAGGCCTCGCCGCTTCTCGCCGGCGGCCGGCGTGCAGCGGCTCGGCAGAGACCGGCACGATCGCTTGTGCGCCGAGCGGACGCGTCCCGAGAGAGACACGACGGAGTCGAGCCCGTGTGCGCGTGTGACACCAACCACCGATGGGGAGCGGCGTGCACTGACTTATCCGCGGATTAGCCCAGAGAGGACCGGATCACCCCAAGGATTAGCGATTAAGCCCACTGGCCACCATTGAGGGCACGGACGTTTCAGACCCCAGGAACGACTTGCCGTCGTTCCAGACGTTCAGGTGAGCTTCCCTTCTTGCGCTTCGTTTATTTATCCCTTTTAAAATCGCCCGCTTTACATAAGGGGGAACAAAACATCAGAAGAAAAGTTAACTAGCAATAACAAACAGTATCGGTGCTCTAGCAGTGTACCATTTGGGTTGTTACATTTCAAGCATGGCGATGCAAGCATTGCCTTGTTGTCGCGCGACAGCGCTGCGTGTCAACGAGAGGGAAAGCTGGAACACGCGAGCGCCTTTCATTGGTAGAGCACCGATCCTGTATTTGGTTTTGCTTTAACTATGAGCGTAGCAGAAGCTACGAGAGCGAGCTCCGGGCGTTCGGCTTTCCTGCCATGCACGCGCGGGCTCGTGCGGCGCAGGCGTCGTTCAGGGAAACACGCTCGCGCTTGTGCCTTCGCTCGCATAAACTTTGAAACAAATTACATATAAGCAAACGGCAGCGGTGTTCTTTGGGCTACTGACGTGGCGGGGATTCCCCTGCGTCGTCCGTTTTGTCCGGAGATAGAACCGTTCGGATATCCGGTGCAGTTGATAATGCTCGAAGCGCGCCTATACTGTTCCGAAACTTTGTCGCGGGCATGTGCATTCAGCAGGATGTTAGTCTGGCTTGAGATGACGAGTTACGCCACCGTGGGAAAGGGGCGATTTAGGTACTGTTGCACCCTGCAAGAAGCACTCTGCAGGTACTCTGCAACTAGTACTCTTCCACTATAGCGGTCTGCAATTAGTACTCTTCAACTGGCACTCTGCGAGCAATCTGTAACTATAGTATTCTGCAGGATGTCTGTAGAACTAGGCAAGCACTCTGGAGGCACCGTGCAACTAGTACTTTGCATACAGTACTCCGCAAGCAGTCTGCAACTAGTATTCTGTAAGTACTCTGCAGGCACCCTTCAACTGGTACTTTGCAACCAGTGCTCTGCAGGGGGTCTGCAACCAGTACACTGCAGATACTCTGCAGTAATCTGCAGTCACTCTGCGGATCAGGTACTCCGAAACTAGTACTCTGTATGAACTCTGCAGGCATTCTGCAACTAGTACCTTGCAACCAGTGCTCTGCATCGAGTACTTTATAGATGCTCCGCAAATAGCACTCTGCGGGCACACTGCAACTAGTTCTCTGCAGGTGCTCTCTATCTCTAGCACACTGTAGGCACTCTACAACTAGAACCTTGTTGGTCAAACTTATTCGCAGTCAGTTGGTTTATACTTGTCGAGCGAGCCAGCCCAGCCTGGGAGTATGCGAGTAGGTGGTGGCAAACCTTTTGGGACTGTTCGCAACGAAAACAAGGATGTGAATGAAACGGTTATTTACGACATTCTTTTTGGTCGACGAGTTAACGATTAACCCAGTGAATATGTCACTTGGTCGCGCTATAGGATGCGCCATCTTACTCGTGACTTCGGTACGCCCATACTTGTAGCGGTGTCGCTTCGAACTTATCGACATCTGGCAACGACAGCCTAGCAGACGAACACAGCATAGCTTGTCGATGGAAGACACGAGGAGTCAATGGCGGCCACGAGCACGCCCTATCAATGGACGTGTCCCGCTAGTCCTATTTCTTGATAGGACTCCGTCGGAACGGGGGTTTGTCAGAGACCGTTACATTGTCGCGACGCGTCGCCGGCGATTCAAAAAGCGAGCTAGCAGCAACTTTGTGGCCGCCCTCACTCGTTCTTTGTCATGTTCACATCAGGGAGTGTTATCTAATATCTCCGATGGGCGACATCGGTTACTCCACCGGAGCCTTAGCGCATACTTCGTAGCGTTATCCAGATGATTGTCAGTGTTATCACAACGATCTATACTAAAACTCTTTATTAACCGGTTTGCCCCTTTTCAAGTAATTGTGTCGTACGCCTGTTTACCCAGCGGGAACTTAGCGAGCCCCAATGGGTGTAGAATGTCTCTGCTGTAGGTGAGGAATTTACTCGGTACAAACCATCGCTCGCCTCGAATCTGTAACGTACATCACGCAACATGAACGCGGGCCGCAATGCGATGCTCATCCGGATCAAAACGGGCAGGGATGGGGATCGAACGTGGGATCCCCCTGAGTATATATTCCGCAGCGCCGAGCTATCGCTCGACGTGCTCCAGAGTGCGGTACGCTAACGCACTAGGGTAGGCAACCGATCACCCACTTGAAGCCCTAGGTGGCGCCAGCTACCGCCTGTTAGAAAGGGTACAACCGTTAGCATCCATCCATCCACCCATCCTTCATGATCAAAACAATCGGGCCGCAAAACCTGCAACAGCAGGGTGCGCGCGGGAGACTTTTTTCTTGTTCAAGAGGGAAGGCGAGAAAGAAAGGAAGAGAGAGAGCGTGCGACTATTATTATTATTATTGTTGTCGGTGAAGCGTAGCACGTGCAGCATTGCATCCGCAGAGCGCAACTACCTGAGGCGAGCAGCGGCGGGGGCGGCTGCGGAACAAACGCACACACCGTGGCGCGTTCTTCTGCCCGCGTTTTGTCAGTCCGTCAAGTTGCCCGCTCATTGTTGTCGGAATTGGATGTATCACGTGTCGGGGGCCGCACTGTGCGGAACACCCTTCGCGCCGCAATCCCGACAAACGGCTGCTTGGTCGGGTCAAAGACTCGGAGCCATTTCTTCCGATATCGCGCTTCTATATAGCTTTGAATTGGGAACTGTAAATTGCCGTGTTTACTTTTGCTCGATATCCGTATTACGGAGATCTTAGTAGATTGTTTCGATAACGATACCCGATACTGTGCCGGTTGCCTTTGCGCATGCGTCGCATCGCCATCGGGGACTTTTATCAAAGTTTACGGAACGCTCTTCTAAAACTCTCTGCGATAGGGAGCTCGCGCGCTAAACATAAAGCCCCCCTACCCCCTTTCCTCTTCCTCCCCCCCCCCCCTCCCCCCAAAAAAAGAAAAAGAAACGTAGCGTTCGAGCAATGGCTTAGAATAACGTTATATTTTTACATGTATTTTCTTTTCATAATTACTAAAGTAGATATATTAACATAACGAAGGGTTGAGCTAAAATACACGAATTACAGTAACGTGTGAGTGACGTTGGTGACAGCTTTCGGCACATGGCGTGTGAAACGGAAGAGCGATTCCTGTCAATCGATGTTCGAGCTAGAACCAGAAGGGATCGGAATATCGGCACGTAAAAAATGGGCAAACCGATCTTATATTTATCGAAGCAACACGCTATGTAGGATGATGAACCAATTACTTCTAGGGCTTTAGTTTCTTTTTTTTATTTATATTTTATATTAATGTGCTGTATGTCAAATTCGTTGACTCGAACGAGTAATATTTCCTTTGAAACTTTCCGCGTACTTTCGAGTGAATAGAAGAGTTAATGCATCGAACCTGCAAAGGAACCACTTTGTTGCCCTATTAAATGAACTGTCCTTACATATAATTCAAAAAAGTATTATGTATATTTAAAAAAACACATCCGTATAACCCGCTTCGAAGCTAATCGTGAGCCGTAGTGTAAAAATAAATAAATAAGCACTTGCAATTATTTGGGAAATATAATCTTTTGAAGCTGCTAACACCGAAAAAAAGCGTCAAATTAATCCTCATAAAAAAAAGTGGTGCCAGAAAGACGACTACGATCGGTATCACAGCAAATGGATAAACCGGATGGCAGAACAAAGCAAACTAATATAAAACAAAAAATGTCAGCTTTCATAGCAGAGCCAATTTATTGAGTAATCAAATTACCTGCACCGAAAATGTACTTTCGACGCAAAATAAAAAAAAAACACACAAGAAAAGAAAAGTGCACCTATCTGACCCGTATTCAACGCGTCCACGCGCGCGAAGTAACACATAAATGAATGTGCGAAAGGGTTACCGTTTGAATCCGATGGAAATCGATTAGCAAGCTGCACAACCGACATCGCGGGTCATCCTTCAAATTACACACCGTTCGAATTTCGATTTATTCTTTGATATTCGTGTCTGACTTTTTTCTTTCTTGCTTCCTTGTTTTCGGCGGTTTCGAGCACTAGACGGGAAGACGCAGGGGCGTCTGAAGAGGATAACCCGGTGGAGGGGATTCATCTTTTCCTTCCCAGACTGTTTTCGAACATCACCTTCCTGCGCGTCCGTCTTCTTTTTACCAACACCGGTTCCTCTTCGATCAAGTAAAAAAAAAAAAAAATCGCTTACGTATAGACACGTGCTTAGTTTTTGTCACCATATTACCCCCTTATGTCATAGAAAATAAAATACAGTCAGTAACAACGTCGGGTATACGAAAACATCGCCGATGGCGTCAGGTCTGCGAACAGCCACGCTTCGAAAAACTAGTCTGGCCACCGTGGGCATACCTGAGCAACGATGAATAATCAACAGGAGGTTGGAAGACTGGTGGAAATTATCTAGGAAGAAATGAATGACGTGCAACTAACTAACCAACACAGCTGGGGACAGAGGGAAATGGGGTTTCCCTCTCCCGCGTGACTCCGGCCCAAAGTCTCAATCCAGCGCACGCGCACCGGCAGCAAAATGGCGGTGTCCATAGGCCTTACTCGCATATGTATATAGTTCGTTGCAACATACAATTGTACGACATATAAAAGAGAAGAAGGAAATGAAACGCCCGTTTAATGTCTAATCCATCGAGCAGCATTGAGTACTAGGTGAAACTTTGTTTCTTTCTGTGTCCATCTCGCAGAAAGTGTGCCGACGAGTAACTCCCTTTACGTGACGTCATCAAAATTGTGCCTTCGAACCGAGTGACGTTAAAGCTGACGTCATTTCTTTCTTGAAATTCAGGGCCGGCGCCTCTGCTGCTGTTATGTTGGAACAAAGTTACTATAATAACTGACAGGATGAGAACTTTTCAGGAGTGTCGCCTTTCGGTTGTTCCGCCTCCCCCGAACGCTTCGGATCCTCGAGCGTGCACGCGTAGCCAAAGCACGCTGGAAGGCGACGAGCACGGCGGAAGGCGGCGATACCAGTCTCCAATGTTTCTTCGCTTAGACATTATAACCGCGGAACCT